AAGAAATTAGAAACAAGTTAATCAGGATTTCATCCTGCAGAGAAATCGATACCACTGATTCATGTTACCATTACTCCGGGATTTCTGGACATCCGGACGGGCGAAAGCAGGTGGCTGTTACGCGTTCCGTAGCAGTTGGCCGGTCTCGACAAAAACCGAACCAAATAAAGTTACTGTTAAAATTCTTCAGAAGAATTTTTTTAAATCGGAGTCAAGGAACCTGACTTTTATATTACAGCTATCACCTAAGATTTCATAGTTTTAGCGGCCACCGGTATTTTTCTTTAAATTTAGCATCATCGTTATCATTCTAGTCGAGTAGGACCAGCAACTACAACAATACTGACACCTAGTAAATTATTCTCCCAGACATATAAAAGAGCAGCCAGTAACGCAGTTATTAAATTAGGGATTGACAGAAACCACAAGTCTTCGAGACAAGTCATTTCAGAATAAAGATCCTGGTATCACAGTTCCTTCATGCAAGATTAATAGTCGTCTTTCATGATTATCCTCCAAACAAGCAGGGTGTCGTTCTATCATATCCTTGGTCTCTATATTTTAAAACGAGGATGACACGAATTTGCAGTTAAATATAATTATTGCTGAAGATTAAAATTCACTGTTTGGATTTTGTCCCCGTAGTAACCATTGCTTTGTTTTAGTTAAATGGTCTTACGACGGAAATGAAGGAAGCTCAGACGTACTCAACGTTGCGAACAGAACTAGAAATGTGGCGTCAAAACAAGAAAGCGAAGGAAAGCAATATCCAAAATATAATGGCTAGACACGCAAGTGTAATCGATTCATTATTGCCGGATATCAGTCCTGCGTCGATCAGGCAACGACACAGTTTTTTGCACTTGTCATGTTTCCATCTTTCGAACCATTCGTCATTGTAGAGCCAGTGTCCACGAATTTCTACGAGACAAGAAGTCGTCGATCACCGGGTTCGAAGCTGAACTCGAGAAGCTGACTGCGAAACTGCGCAACTGCGATGTGGAACGGAAGATGGTCATGGAACAGTTGTCCGAGCGCGAGAAGGAGCTGAAGGACTACGAGGAGAAGATCTTGTCCGTATGGCATTTAGCTTTCGGCTGTGTGCCACAATGGTTTAAGCTGTTCTTTTTATTTCAGTCGTCGCTGCAACCTGAACTGTCTGTCGAGGAAAACATTCAGTCAGTGAGCCAAGATATGGAAAGACTGCAGCTGGAGAAAGGCACACTGGATGGTGCAAGTTATATGTACCGCAAGTACATCGACTTCCTTCATAAACGACCATGCTGTCCATTGTGCAACCGCGACTTTGCCAATCAGGTTGAAAGTCAACAGCTGTTGAAAGAGGTATGATGCGTTCATTCAAAGAGAAATCATCAGTTTATACTAAAACTCATAATCATGTTTTTTTGTTGATCAGTAATAATAATTAAATTGAATTAATAGTCAGTGATCAAAATTTTACGAGGATACTCTGCACATAGATATTAATAAATGAAAAGATTAGTACCATATTCGTGCGTTAGTGGAGATACCGAAGAAACAACGCAAAACATGTTTAGTTATGCGTAGCATAATCCAGCGATATGTTGGATGATTTATAGACTGATACCAAATTTTGGACCAATATCTCACGATTCTTCTTCAAGTTGGTGGCTGTTTTCAGTAGCCATGAAAGTCGCCTGCTCGATGGAATTAACTATAGCCTGAAAGACCGCTACCTTGCGAAGTAATATCAGTTTTTGTACTTTTTTAGCCTTAAGAAGATTGTTCACGTAAAACTTATTGTCTTACATTCATTGCATATTCTGAGGTTCAAAAATTTTACATTTATCCCGTGTCTGTGAATTGATCTTAGTATTTCTACATATCATTATATTACTAAACAAAAGAAGGTATTCTTCTACGCCAAGTAGTTTCCTTTAATTCAGTACGGTTTTTAGTTGGAAACAAATCTGAAATCGTTGCCGGAAGAACAGAAGTGTTTGAAGGTGAAGTTGCAAAAGTCTCAACGAAAACATCAGGATCTGCTCCAACTGCAGCCGACCGCCAGCTTAGCGAAAAAGCTCAGAAATGACGTCATTCCATCGCTCAAGAGCAAAAGCAGTGCGTTGGTAAATGGCATTCAGGAAGCGAAAAAGGCAATTTCTGAGGTATGCACTTGTTTGATTGTTTAATTACGTGTTGTTTTCATTTTTCCTAACCATAAAAGGCCATTAATTCAAAGTTGGTGCAAAAAAACGAACCGTTTATTGAATAAAAATGCAAATACGTAATACAAAATATTAGCATGACGTGTATGAATTCAATCCCATTCTGTTAGATTAATTTTCATAGTTTAGTATCACTGGAGGGAGCTATGATGTTTTTGCATCTGCTGTATATTAAAGAATTTCGTGTCAGCTGTTGACTACGAGCGACATTTTCCTCATTAAAATTATTCATTTTGATACCTGATTTTAATGGTATGTAAACTCGAGTTAGCCCTTGACTTCTAGAGAATGGAGTATGCAATGCTGTAACTCTGTGTCTATCCACTGAAGTAATTATTGTTTTGTTCAATGGAATGATTAAGGACGGTAAAGAGAGCGCTTGTGCTACGACTTTGCCGTTAATCTGTAAGAGCGATATCAGTTGAAATCGTGACTATAATCAACATCCAAATGTCGTTGGAGATTGATAGTTCTAGTAAATTTATATTTTGTCAAGTCTTTTTGGTTCGTTTATTTTCAAATGTTCATCAATTTTTGTTGGTGCTTTAGCTTTAAAATAGTTCAAAGGATTTATTGCTGTCTGGATCAGGGGACCATTT